TATAAAGCTCTTAATGGCATTGCCCCTACATACATCACCGATCTACTTCGTCGTCATATCCCTGCCCGTACTTTGCGCTCCAGCAGTCAAAATTTGTTGACTGTGCCCAGAGTGCGAATAGAGACATATGGCGAGAAGTCTTTTTCCAGCGCTGCTCCGAGACTCTGGAACAATCTTCCTGACTCTATTAAGCAGAGTCCAACTATCGATGAGTTTAAGGCAAAGTTGAAAACATATCTTTTTAGGATAGCTTTTACTGAGAGTCACACAGACTGAGTAACTGTTTTTAGATTTTTAGATTCTTGTTGTAAAAGGCATTGAGACTCGTGTATAATGCGTTTTAAAGAACAATTATATTATTAAGACCCCACAGGAAGGAAAAAATAATGCAAAACTATACTAAAACATATTTAACAGGCTATGTTATATGCATTTGACAAAAGATATGGAACGTGTAAATTTGTTTGGTAGTCTGTGGTACATACACCTGTACAGCCTACAGGGCTTGTAACATTGCTCTAGCAAAGACTGTGGCTATGAAAACAATGAAGATGCTGCCAATGAGTTAGGAAACGATCAGTCGGAGGAAATTATCAACCAGTGTGCTGTTTCTTGCGATGGAACATGGCAAACACGGAGACATTTCTTGAATGAGCGTGTGACAATGTAGACTTGCCCAAGTCGCTCGCTAGGGACCGCGCATAGCAAGAAGGGAGCGCTTGACCGCGGACTTTGGAAAATCTAGTGACAATGCTGTCAACTGAGAATGGGAATTGTGTTGTCGAAGTGTTACCACAGAATACGGCACACAGAAGGGCACCCTGGCCGCCATCTTCCTAGCCAGTCGATTACATTTTCTGGCCAATAAACGCGCTGTATTGGCTGAAGGCCCCGCCTTCTGGCCAGTCAACTGCATATTTTTGCATAGAAAAATGGTGACACGTTGCAACGCTGAGCGGCCCTTCTGGTACTGATCTTTATTCTGTGGTGTTACCATGGCAACAACTAATTTTTTTTTTGTAAAGTGGAAACACCACGTGAATTATTTTTGGGCGCCATATTTTTATACTCGTGTTGTTTGTGAACTGTGTCTTGGAACACTCTCGTTTTCATGATCAGAAATTCTGTAAGAACCGAAGTACTATAAAGATTCAGTCGAGGAAACAGTTGGGTGATATTTTTAATCGAAATTTGACCGCACGGGTGACCGTACGGGGAAAAGATCAAAAGCTGAAACCATGTCTAGCAAATGTGACGATGTTTGTAACAAGGTTTTTTCAAAGAAAGGACATTTTTTAGTGAGACATGAAAGAACACACACTGAAGACAGACCTTATGAATGTGATGTTTGCAACAATAGATTTTCTGACCCAAGCTCATTAACCAGACATGAAAGAACACACACTGAAGACAAACCTTATGAATGTGATGTTTGCAACAAACAATTTTCACACTCTAGCACCTTAGTTACACATAAGAGAACACACACTGGAGACAAACCTTATGAATGTGATGTTTGCAACAAAAGATTTTTGCAGTCGAGCAACTTAGCTAGACATCAGAGAACACACACTGGAGACAAACCTTATGAATGTGATGTTTGCAACAAAAGATATTCTGACCCAAGCAACCTAACCAAACACAAGAGAACACACACTGGAGAGAAACCTTATGAATGTGATGTTTGCAACAAAAGATTTTTTGACGCAAGCACCCTAACTAATCATAAGAGAACACACACTGGAGAGAAACCTTATGAATGTGATGTCTGTGACAAACAATTTTCACGGTCATGCACCTTAGTCAGACATAAGAGAACACACACTGGAGAGAAACCTTATGAATGTGATGTTTGCAACAAAATATTTTCTGACCGAAGCACCCTAACTAAACATAAGAGAAAGCACACTGGAGAGAAACCTTATGAATGTGATGTTTGCAACAAAAGATTTTCTGACCCAAGCACTCTAACTAAACATAAGAGAACACACACTGGAGAGAAACCTTATGAATGCGATGTTTGCAACAAACAATTTTCACAGTCAGGTCACTTAGCGGTTCATATGAGAACACACACTAGAGACAAACCTTATGAATGTGTCGTTTGTAAGAAGAGATTTTTATGCTTGAGCCAATTAACTAGCCATAAAAGGAGACATACTAGAAACAAACCTTACCAATGTGATGTTTGCAACAAAAGGTTTTCTGAATCACACTATTTAACACAACATAAAATATCAGCACACAAGGGACATGAGAGTTTTGCGTGTGGTATCTGCAAGAAGACATTCACACAACGACAAAGTCTCAAACGTCACTGGAGATTACACTTGAGAGATGGCTTATTATTGTGCCACACCTGTGGCAAAGAAATTATTCAAGGTCAAGGACATGCTAGTGAGATACCGAGTGATAATCATTTTCTCTGTGACAAATGCAACAAACAGTTTCCTGATATTGAAAGTTTATATCAGCACAAGGTCAAAGACCATGGTACGTCCTACCAATGTGATGTCTGTAAGGAATTAGAAGCAAGAGAAGCAACTGGTATTGGTTATATCTGTTGTGTCTGTGATGTCGAGTTTGAAATTGCCACTGAACTTGAAGATCATATGAGTATGCATGACAATGTGTTGCCCCACTAGACTAGCAACATAAATTGAAAATATTTAACTTGTTTTCGGATTGTCTCTTTAAACTTGTTATGCACGAGTCAATAGATGATTCCCCTGTTTACGTTTTCGTAGCGCTTTGCATTGTGGTTATAGTGGTATCACTGATATTCAAGATGGCTTATTTTTTGTCCCGACCTGTGCAAAAACTTTTAAAAAAGCTAGGGTCAGGTGCACGATATCCAACAGCAAAATATTCGCGAAAACATTCATCTATTCCATGAGTGATCATCCCCCCCTCTGGCGGAAGCATTTTTTTGGGAAGAAAAGGAAATTTCCCGGCTGCGGGAAAACAGCAAGAGGGAAAATCTACGGCCCCCGCACAACCGTTAGGTGGCAAATGTCCTAGCCCTGGGATTCTTTTTCATCAATATCGTTTAAAAATCGCGTAATGCATAGCAAAAGTTGCATAATGCATGGGGTATAAAGCGTCAATTTAATCTGGATAATCTTAATCCGGATAATCTTAATCTTAATCCGTTCAACTTAATCTTAAGCTTTAGTTCAGTGACAGTGTATTGTCAAATATTATTTTGTATTATTAACAATAAATTTTTCTTCTCATTAACGGTGGTTTACTTTTGGTGACGTCACAACAGGGATTAATCATATAAAAGTATTCGTTGCTCGCAGGAATTTTGGTTATAAATCTACCAAATTTGAACGCTCAAATTTCAGATCTTAGTGAAGGCTGCGAGGCAGAGTCGCTCTTAGAAAGCCTTTATCAGAAAGACTTGGTTTGAGCTGCGTCGTGTTCGTAATTCAGCTTCGCTCTCAGCTGCAAGCAAGGATAATTAACTCCACTTATTTCTATAATATTTTATTGAGTATTCACTATATGACTAAACAATAAATATGATACAGGACATGTTACGAAAACCAAACTTACAAAAGACAACACAATTAGCAGATGAACTCAAACGGAAGAGCACAAACGGGACAAGAAGTCCAATGCAAGGCGTTTCCCGAAATTACTTGAATTAAGAGGAGATTTTTTGTATGTTGCGTAACACGCACTCAAAACTAATGCGTATAATATATCACTTGAGGTTATGACTAAATTCAAAAATTTTATTTTTCGATAAGTTTCTCAATTGGCAAAATTCGCACGGTGCACGGTTTGCAAAACCAACTGCTCTAATTCTTTCTGTCACTTTCATTGATCGTACCTGTGAGTCTGCCTCAACGGCCTTTAATTAGTATTCAGGAATCTCACTGAGTAATCAAATTTACCATAAAATTAAAAACTCAATTTTTCAAAATTATTGGTAAACCTAATATACTGTTGTACTGTACATGCCACTGGTATTCTGTAGTGATTTTAGTATTTATCTTCCACTAAATTAAGTTAGCAATATCTGTACGGTGTATCACACAACATGACACACCAAATCCTCATACAATTTGATAAAACGTACTAAACTTATTGTCACACTGGTATTTTGTGGTACATAGATTTTATCCACATAATGTCCGATTTAAAAAATAATAGAATCTGCAATCTAACCCCAAGACCCCACTGGAAGGAAAATAATAATGCAAGACTATACTAAAAAATATTTACTGTAACAGGCTATGTTATATACGTTTGACAAAATATATGGAACATGTAAATTTGTGTGGTATTCTGTGGTACATACACTTGTACAGGGCTTGTAACATTGCTCTAGAAAAGGCTGTGGCTATAAAAACAATGAAAATGCTGCCAGTGAGTTGGGAAAAGATCAGTAGGAGGAAATAAACCAGTGTGCTGTTTCTTGCGATGGAACATGGCAAAGACGGAGACATTTCTTGAATGGGCGTGTGACAATGCTATCAGTGGAGAATGGGAAATGTGTTGTCGAAGTGTTGACTAAAGTGTGTCATGGTTGTCAGAGAATAGAACTGGAAATGATCTGGTAATAAAAAGCTGTAGGGAAACAAGAGCATGTTGGAAAGTGCACAATGAATCACATGGGTTCATTTGCTTCCATGGAAACCGAAGATGTGAAACGTATATTTCTGAGAAGTGAAAACGACTGCCCTGATGAACTCGACAGTTGGTGTCGTTTCAAACAAGACAAAGCCAATCAGACAGGTAATTATATGTTCCTGGACCCTGGCTTGCCAGATGACATAATTAAATTGATAAACCAATCGTTTTCAGACTCAGCTGTAATGAGCTCCTGAGCAATTGTCTGGATGGAAAAACGCAAAACCAAAATGAGTCAAGAAGTGGCATGATTTGGAAGAGGATTCCGAAGAATATATTTGTTGGATTTGATGTCCTGGAGCTTGGTGTCTATGATGCTGTGGCACACTTTAATATTGGTGCTGAGGCTGCTGCATTTTCAAAGAAGTAAACATGAAACCAGGGGGAGTATTTTTTAGAAGGGATGAGAAAAATCATTAAACAGCGGGTTGCGAAAGCAGATTTCAAGGCAAGGGATGACAACAAAAAGCAACAAAATGTGTTGCGTGGCTTGAAGAAGAAGAAAGACTATGATAAACAGAAACAGGAGGAGGGTACTTTGTACAAACCAGGAGCATTTTGAGATATTTTTGATAAAATTCACTTTGTTGACACCTATTTATATCTTATCAACTACAACTAAAATTTTAGAACCTCTTTTTCTCGGTTTGCGAATTTTGCCCGTTTTACGACACTCAAAACATGATATCTAGAAAGGTATTTATGCTATTGGTCTGAAAGTTTCAGAATTGATAGTTCTTATCATTCTCTAGGAGGTCAACTGGAATAGTGTTACTCGGTTACATTCTCATAAAGAATCGACGCTGTTGTAATCTGATGCCCTTTTGTAGATGGATTATTTCATGTCATAGCCGCTCCTTTTGTAGTAGCGAAATAATTTTAGTTCACTTCCTAGCTATTGATCTAAGTGATATAATAAAGATTTTTTTTGAACCTTAAATGGTTCTCCCTATTTTCTATGCTATTTTCTTTGCTGGGGGTCCAATATCTTGGTTACCACCACTTTCCAAAGTGGAAACACCACGTGAATTATTTTTTGGGCGCCATATTTTTATACTCGTGTTGTTTGTGAACAGTGTCTTGGAATGCTCTCGTTTTTATGATCAGAAATTCTGTAAGAACCGAAGTATTATAAAGATTCAATAAAGGAAGACTCGAGGAAACAGTTGGGTGATATTTTCACAATCGAAATTTGACCGCACGCGTGACCGTACGGGGAAAAGATCAAAAGCTGAAACCATGCCTACCAAATGTGATGATGTTTGTAACAAGGTATTTTCAAAGAAAGGAAATTTTTTAGTGAGACGTGAAAGAACACACACTGAAGACAGACCTTATGAATGTAATGTTTGCAACAAAAGATTTTCTGACCCAAGCACCCTAACTAGACATGAAAGAACACACACTGGAGAGAAACCTTATGAATGTGATGTTTGCAACAAACAATTTTCGCGGTCAAGCACCTTAGTTACACACAAAAGAACACACACTGGAGACAAACCTTATGAATGTGATGTTTGCAACAAAAGATTTTTGCATTCTAGCAACTTATCTAAACATAAAAGAACACACACTGGAGAGAAACCTTATGAATGTGATGTTTGCACTAAAAGATTTTCTGACCCAAGCTCCCTAACTAGACATAAGAGAACACACACTGGAGACAGACCTTATGAATGTGATGTTTGCAACAAACAATTTTCACGATCATGCACCTTAGTCAAACATAAGAGAACACACACTGGAGACAAACCTTATGAATGTGGTGTTTGCAACAAAAGATTTTCTGACCGAAGCACCCTAACTAAACATAAGAGAACACACACTGGAGAGAAACCTTATGAATGCGATGTTTGCAACAAACGATTTTCGCAGCCAGGCCACTTAGTGGTTCATAAGAGAACACACACTGGAGAGAAACCTTATGAATGTGATGTTTGTAAGAAGAGATTTTCACATTCAAGCCACTTAACTAGGCATAAAAGAACACACACTAGAGACAAACCTTACCAATGTGACGTTTGCAACAAGAGATTTTCAGAATCACGCAAGTTAAGACAACATAAAACATCGGCACATAAGGGAAATGAGAGTTTTGAGTGTGGTATCTGCAAGAAAACATTCGCACGACAACAAAGGTTCAAACATCACGAGGGAGCACACTCAAGAAATGGCTTATTATTGTGCCACACCTGTGGCAAAGACATTATTCAAGATCAAGGACGTGCTAGTGAGATACGGAGTGATGATCGTTTTCTCTGTGACAAATGCGACAAACAGTTCCCTGATATTGAATGTTTATATCAGCATAAGGCCAAAGACCATGGTACGTCCTACCAATGTGATGTCTGTAAGGAATTAGAAGCAAGAGAAGCAACTGGTATTGGTTATATCTGTTGTGTCTGCGATGCCGAGTTTGAAATTGCCACTGAACTTGAAGATCGTATGAGTATGCATAACAATGTGCTGTCCCACTAGCTAGGCAACATAAGTTGGAAATATTTAACTTGTTTTTGGATTGTCTCTTTAAACTTGTTGTGCATGAGTCTATTCCATGAGTAACCCCCTTCCCCCCCCCCAGATTAATACCGTACATTAGCATTTTTTGGGAAGAAAGGGAAATTTTATGGCTGCAAGGAGACAGAAGGAGGGAAAATTTTGGTTATAAATCTACCAAATGAACTATTCCCTAATGAACAAAACAAGTCTAGACAAACATTTCACCACATCTTGAAAGAAGCATCACAAAAAATGGCTAAATTAGTAATATTCCGAAGTTTCGTTGCGAAATGTTGCAAAAATGCGGATAATATATAGCAATGCGGAGTTTGCCGTTTTTCAGTCATTTTGTATTACGCAAGGGAAATTGTAGCGCTTTCTGAATAAAGGTATCAATTTCCCGTGCGTAATACAAGATGACTGAAAAACGGCAAACTTCGCAGGGCTATATTATCCGCATTTTACAACATTTCGCGACGAATCTATGGAATATTACTAATTTTGTGATGCTCTTTCAATGCTCTTTTACAGAAACAGGAGGAGAATAGTGTTACTCGGTTACATTCCCATAAAGAAATCGACGCTGTTGTAATCTGATGCCCTTTTGTAGATAGATTATTTCATGTTATAGCCGCTCCATTTGCAGTAGCCAAATAATTTTAGTTCACCTTCTAGCTATTGATCTAAGTGATATAATAAAGATTTTTTGAACCTTACAGTGAAAATACAAAAAGTGTCCCACTTCCGCTTCTGTAGTTTGTTGTGATTTACTGTAATTTGTTCTGTTTTTCTGTAGCGATTACCGATTTATCGGCAAATACCGCGATAAAACTTAGTTTTTTCTATTTTTAAATATGATAATTTGTAGCAAAGGGAAGTAATACATTTTTCGAGAGTTTCATTGCATAAAAGGAACGAAATTTAAATTTTATCGCAGTATTTGCCGATAAATCGGTAATCGCTACAGAAAAACAGAACAAATTACAGTAAATCACAACAAACTACAGAAGCGGAAGTGGGACACATTTTGTATTTTCACTGTAAATAGTTCTCACTTTCTAAATTATTGTGTTTTC